CTTAGCAGCATTTATGCTGTCTGAATTATCTTTGCTCAAAACGTCACACAGCTGAAATCTACCCTCACCACTGTGCTGAGCAAAAAGTTGCCACCAATAGCCAATGTTCATCCTGGCTCTCATAACCACTTCCTCCCATCAACATCTCTGCCTGCCACACTCAGACCCACCTCAGCCATACCTGGATGGCAGTGCAAAGCTCACTTGACCCTGCTTGTCTGCCCCTAAGTACCCGCAGGTCTCGTCAGCCTTGTGAAAATTTACCAACCCTAGCATCTTTTTCATAGTTCTCGATCACAGCTGCCTTTTGCTGATATTGCTAATAGGACTGTTCAATTTTAATATGGCTTTCGTGGTCTCCATAGCTAAAATGTGTTCCCACTGATAATCAAACGTGTCAAACCTCTCTTCTGGTCATTCTGATGAATACGATTTAGACTCTGTGATTTACCAAAATTGACTCCCAAGGTAGATATGATAATCAACAAACAATGCAGTTGATCTTTTTTTTTAAAAAACTCACCTACGCAATCCAGTATTAGCAAGTTCTACAAATAGTCGTATGGTTCTGTATCTCTCTGAATATTTGGTGTCTTTTCCTACCTGATATTAATCTACTGGGTTCCTGCAAGACTGCACCAGGCCTCCTAAAGAAGAAGGCCTACATGTGTGAAAATTGTATTTGCATTAACTTAAATAATCTATTGGGAATATAGCAATGCTTTCTAATCTTCATGTATACATCCTTTGATTTCCATGTATAAAACAAAACCCTGGAGGCTTTGGGGACAAGATAGACAGCCCAACAACATATCACCTCCTTTGCAGAAACCCATTTTGGTCCACCCAGACCATAAAGGGCTTCATAAAGGGACTTAGATGAGATGAGGTTGCAGGGGAAACTGGGGTCTGACTGAACAGGCTCAGACACTTTTTGATCAGACTCCTAGTTCTGTTCTTAGAACCCTTCCAATGGCAGGCCCCAGGCTTACTGGCACATGCACGGACTTCCTGGGGGAGAGGCTGGCTTGGCCATGATATATACAAGACCTCTATAAAATGATCAAGATAGGAAATATGAACTTGCATAGTTTATTATTGCCAATAAATACACTACTAATTTATCTGAGCTAGTGAATGCTTCCAAACATTCCTATATCTTTTGCTGAACATCTGTACTAAATGTGGGTGGCCATGATAGCAGCAAATAAATGCAGCTTTTGTTATTTATTGGTATTAGTTAAAATGTATAATGCCATTTATTTACTAAAGACACGGTGCTGTTTGATTTGAAGAAATATATTTATTTTCTTCCTTATGGAGTTTTTCTAGTAAAAATTCAACATTCTAAAATTAGTTTACAAGATGATTTAGATGAAAAAAATCCTCCAAACCCATATAAAAAGTGAAGACGTAACTATTTGTAAGTAATGGTTGGAACAGTTAATTTTGATTTTCCTTAAGTGAAGTTAAGTGTTGGCATTCATCTTTCTTCCTTACAGGTCGGGTTAGTCTTCAGGTCTCTAACTACTAAGCCAGAGCAATGGAGGACTGAGTGTGTCAAGCAGCTCAAAAGCTCAAAGCTGGAAGATTATAAATCCCGACAGTTCTGATAAATGATCTTACCATATGCCTCCCAGTCATTAATCTCTGACCTATCTCCCTGAATTCTGGGCATCTGCAGAACTCGACAGGGAATGACAAAGGCAGTCGTTGTACCAACCCGGGATGTACAAAGACCCTACACAAGCCTGCAAAATCCAGACTCACCCCCCCCCCGAAGCCTACCACCCCCAATCACCAAAAACATGCAGTCTTCATTGTCAAGGGACATGCAGAAGACAGTTCTTCAGTGAAAAGATTATGCTGCCAGGATATGTAACATATAATATAATATAATATAATATAATATAATATAATATAATATAATATAATATATGCTCGTACATGGTCACAGAGAAAATAAATCCATGTGGTAACATGGAATTGCTTTTTTGAACTTAGGCCTGGACATGTAATAAACTGTGACACTGAAAAATCCCTGTCACTTAGGGGTTAAGTGAAGTCTGTCGTAATCAAGACATGAGAAATAGGAGTGGAGGGTGAACAAAGGGGAAGCAGGAAGCCAATCTCTGGGGTTTTAGTAGTTGTCAGAATGGCTGAAAAAGACTCAGAGCATCATCATTGTAAGAACAGAACATTCACAACTCTGAAACTGGCAAACTAGAGCCCTTGGTGTGTTACTGTAAGACTAAAAATTTATACTACAGATTTAAATAGTAGAAAGAAGAAAGGAGGCTTTGGTTCCCAACTACTTACGTGCTATGTCTTTCCCTGGCCCCCCCCCCCCCACACACACACACAGATAAACTGTATCTCTTGATTCTGATCTGTAATTGTGAAATTGCAATTTGGCCTAAACAGAATGATAGGCAAGGGGCAGAGAGAGAGAGACAATTATTTCCATGCCCTAATTCACGAATGTTAACAAGACGACAATAATTAATTGCTTTTCTTCCAAGTCTCTTGACTTAATTTAACAAAGAAAATACTAATGGATTTTTAGAGAAACTAGAAATTATCTGTATATAGCTAATGAGGAGACTCAAAATATACTGAAAACCCCATAAAAGCACGAAGGGAAGCATCTTGAAGAGAAACAAAAACTTTGGGAAGCTAAATGTATTGTTGAACCAGGAAAAGAATTCACAGTAATGTGAGTTTAGCAGGAGTGAAGTACAGAAATAAAGACACTGACTAAATTTAATACCAAATGTCTTCAAATCCGTAAGAAAGAGATGATGGAACAAAATAGTCAGAAAAAGAGCTGGCAATAAATCTATTTCTATGTGCATGTTCACACGTGCATCTATAATTAGATTGCCATAAATGTTTCCAAGGTAAAGTCCTTAAAACCCATGAAATATGTGGGGAAAACAGAGGCAAATATAATTGTTCCTTTATGATAGGGTGGACATTTTTAGCTTTAAAAATAAGAAACCATAGAAACTGTTGAGTCACAGACTTGACATCATAATAATGTCTCCACCCCGCATCAATTTTTATTTTTGCAAAGGGGAAGTCGGTATTTACAACATACATGAAAGGTCCCAACTCTGTCTCACTTCAGAGCTCAATCTGAATGTGCTTATGTTTGTTATTTACAAAACAACATTTGGGGAACCTCAGCGAATGTAGTTTTGCCCTGCATAATCTCAGGTTTGAAGCTGCCATGAAACGCTTGTTTTTTAACTGCCAGGAAGAATGCATTCACCTAGGAGAGCAACTCACACTGGAGACTACCCAGCAGGACCAAGTTACAGCAGAATGGTGGAATCGAACCCTAGGAAAGAACAATGATGATGGTTGCCAGAGGGGGCCTAGGAAGATGTAGTAAAGTCAAGAAAAAGAGAAATCAGGAGTTAGCAGTATCCTAGCCTTTTGTTCTTGAGTAAAACCCCAGATACTAGTGGAATTCTAAGAAGGCAGAGAGGTGGAGGGTGCAGTAGAATTGTAGAACACTAGCCTGGCATCTGCAAGGCTCAGGGGGAGAGGAGGTGGTTAAAGGGTTGAGAGAAAAGCCACAGGGAGAAAGACTGTGCCCCTTTCCCAACCTGGGAACCTGGAGTGAACTGAGTACCAATGAGCATCTCAAGGGCTTAGTAAAAGATGAGACCCTGAGGGAAAGAGAGTCCTTGATTTCTTGAAGACTGAATATGATCAAGGCTTGAGGAGAGCCAGTTCAGCCACAGTAAAATGAACCACAATAGCATTCTGGCTACGATGTAACCAGAGAAGGCAAATAATTTTCCAGACTCTCAGTGTCCAGAACAACAGTGGGCATATCCTGTCAGGCAGGATCTTATTGTAGCATGTAGGGTCAAGTGCTGGGTGAGGCACTTCACTCCCAGAAGCTGGAACAGCATTTCTGGTCCTATGTAAGCAGACCAAGAGGAAGAGAGGGATTGATTTTTCTCTGCCCTACATCCAAAGTGAATGCTGTCCTCAGCAATGGAGTCGTACCATTTACTTTTGGTAGGCAATTAAAAGCAACGGCAATAGCCTGTACTATTTTGGGTATCTCTAGGGCCTCCATTGCCAATTATTTGTAGGGAGGTATTTCATGACTGGCATTAAGGTTGTCATTCAATAACCCATGTTATTTCTGGGTATTATTGTCAACCTGTGGATGGTACTCTTGGTATTATGTTAAAAGTATTTTTAAACATATATTCTAGTTTTTAACTAGCTTACAAACAAGGGGATTTTGGTAAGACAGTTCCATATATTCTTTTATAAAGTGGGCTAAAACAATACAAAAGACAAATTTAAAACTTAACGTAATAAAATAATTTGGTTCACCAAAAGTTAGTAAAGGAAAACATATGAATGAAAGCAACACACCTTTTCTTTTCAACGTGTGTATGTGTGCATGCTGGTGGTGTGTATGTGTGCCTGCTGGTGGTGTGTATGTGTGCCT